TCTCTCTCTCTCTCTCTCTCTCTCTCTCTCTCTCTCTCTCTCTCTCTCTCTGTGAGACGGACCCCGTTGAGGTTGGTGCTTTATTGCACCACGAAATAACCTACAAAAGAACAAATGAAAATGCTTATTTTGGCTGGTTGCATTTTTTTTTCGTTTTTAATTAAAAAAAATATTACTCGTGAAAAAAAAAATCGAAAAAAATATGGGGGGTTACCCTCTGATGACCCCCACCCTCCTATAAAATTAAAAACCACCCCCCCAGCAAAAAAAAAAAAAAAAAACGATCCCACTCTCAGTGACCTCCATGAACTCCCATGTCATGTGGTGAACTCCATGACCGTTTTCCTTTCACGGGGTTAACTCCATGACCGTTTTCCGTTCACGGGGTTAACTCCATGACCGTTTTCCGTTCACGGGGTTAACTCCATGACCGTTTTCCGTTCACGGGGTTTCCGTCCACAGACCCCGTGAACGGTGAACGGGGGTACGGCACTGATAGAAAGTGATCCATCCGCCGACCCACCCAGTGGGCCACTCACTCACATATGCGCGAGATCACATTGGCAAAGAAGATTACTGAAACAAGCGCCTGAATCTGGATGGGTTTTCAGCAGAGATGCAGAAAAGCAAATGGATAGCGATATTCTGCACCTTTCCAGAAACACGTCAAGATTCACGCGATTAATCTCCAATCCTCTTTGCTAGTGAGATCTCGCCCTAAGGCACTGGGCACACACAGCGATCGGCCAAGGGAGGAGGAGATTCGTCAGCAGCAAGCGTGACTTCACCCGGTGTCCCATCGTTACCTTCTGCCCCCGAATACAACGTAGGGCCATTATGCCTGCATCTAGACCGAAAGTTACCTCAAATGCAGCAGCTATAATGACCGTACGTTCTATTCGAGGGAAGACGGGTAGTAGCTATATATAGACCAATACTGCAGCACAATCTGCGGAGTGTGGCCATACATAGGTCACAAAAAAAGATGGGAGAAGTGACGAACCAGCTCGGCGCGCAGCACAAGGAAAAGAAAGAGGAGGAGGAGGAAAAGGAGGAAAAGGAGGAGGAGGAGGAGGAGGAGGAGGAGGAAAAGAAGAAGGAGGAAGAGGAGGAGGAGGTATCTGGCTCGTGAGTGATCAACAGGTCAAGCGCTCAAATCTAATCATGTTTAGGAACATCAGGGGCAGCAATCAAATTGGCCAGATCGGTTTGCTAAATCCCTAGACTACCTAGCCGGAAATCAGGGCCAGGTACATCCAGGTCACGCAGTTGGTCGTCTGACCACTGCGGGGAAAGGTGTCAACGTCTCGCCGGGTCGGGATTTCCCGATTGCACGGGGCTACTACCTTCTTCCCCCGAACACAACGCACCCTCATTTTGACTGTAGCGGGCCAGAAACATACCTTGTATGCGGTCATTTTCAGGGTGCGTTATGTTCGGGGGAAGACGGTAGTAGTTGTTAAGTGGTTATCGGCAATAACATGAGAGAGGTAAGGGGCCCTAAATCCAGTTTTTTTTTTTCTTTCTTGTTTTTTCATATATATAAATAAACTAAGTTATATAAATAAACTAAGTTATATTCTTCTCTCAATTTCACCTTTCACCTTTCACCTTTCACTATCTACCTACCACTACTCCATGCATCCCCTAAATCCATGGTTTGGAATAGCGAGTCTGCAGATGTATATGAGTGTTAGTGAATCTACGGATGCATATGTGCGTGCCATTATTTGTGCCCTCCCAATCGTCATTTCACCCTCAAAACCCATTGATTAGTTCGTCCATCAGCCTGCCCCCCCCCCCCCCCCCCCCCCCCCCCCTCCCTCTCTCTCTC